GGGCCGGGGACCCATGACAAGGTCTGCTTCCCCCTCCCCCTCTAGGCAGAGCCCAGCTGGGGTCCCTGCAGGCTAGGGTGGGGGTTTAAACCCCTCCCTGATCATACCCAGGCCTGCCTGGGCCTGGCCATGCCCCTTTCCTCAGCTTATTTTCCTTCTATCCCGGGTCTAGCACACCCGGCTTCTGGCCTAAGCCACTACAGGCATGTAGTCACTACAGGCCTGCATTTCCGTAGTCAAAAGTGAATGTCTATTCACTTGCAAATTGGTTCACTTGATCTACACTTCTTAGACTAACTTGCAAAGATTGAATCAATTCAGATTCTGACTTTTTGAATGTCTGTCCCTAGCCAGAAAGTTGGCAGTAGCTGCTGCCGCTATGTAATATGCCTTCAGCCACCCCTGTACAACTGGTAGCTTTGCCCACACCACACTTTTTGAAATCCTAGATCCCCCTCTGAGAATGGGGGGTATCCTCTTCCAAAATTCATAGAAAATCCCACTTAGTTTACGGCACTCACAAAAGTTACAGGTAACCCTGCAGAACACAAGGTCTCTCTTGCCCACACAATAGCCTTCCTCCTTTTTCTTTGCAGTCTGATTTCTCCTAATCTTTCTCCCCTACACAGTAATACATCATTTTTGCTAGTATATAGCACCTCTCATCCCATCCACTCCCAAATGAAGAGGGGATAATAGGGCTCTGATTTAGGGCTATAGAATTATGAACTGTACTGCTCGTCACACCCATCTCTACTCAAAGACTTCTTTTAGAGTAGCTGAGCTGCCTGGTGATGTGCCACAGAACATCCTGCATAAGTACGAACTGATTCCATGGGCTCACATAACATTAATCATCAACATTAAGGCAAACTTCTGAACTGGGAATCCATTTTTTATTCAGGTCTCTGAATAAACTGAGTGGAACCACACTTGTTCTCTGGCACAATCTAACTTTTTATGTTTGTTAATTTTGGCAATATTACATCAATCTCTTTCCTTTGCCAAGAACATACCATGGAAGATTTTAAGGAGACTAACAGAGACATCCTAGTTACCTGAAACAAGTGGCCATTCAGCTTGGAGACAGACAGTTGGAAATGCCAAAATTACTCTAGTAATGCACACAGGTTTTTTAAGATTGTGTTAGTTCAAGAATTTCTGATACTTTATTGTGACCCTAATTTTGAATGCAACAAAAATTCATATCTGCTCATGGAACCGCAACTTCTTTATAAACTTGAAAGAAAGAGTAAAGTACTTGCTCCCATTTCCATTCACAATGCAGATAAAATGCACATCATACACTGGTTTCTTAAGCCGCCCCATGACTTTAAGTTAGCAATTACCCAGTTCAGGTAACTTGTTCTACTGAGACAGTAATATGTTACCACTTCTTTCATTAATACTAAAAAAAAAAAAAAAATTAGTTTTTATGTTGGGACTCATAAATTTCACGATGCTTTTTCAAAGCTGAGAAAAATGGGCAAATGTTATTTTAAAAAAACTCTCTATCTTCTTTCCAAAATATAACAGGCAGCTCTGTGAAGGAAATTTATAGATTTCTCCAGTGTCTCTTTTGCTGAACGAAGAGCTGCTTCAGTAGCTGACAAATTTAACAGTACCTACTGATAGGGCCAATATTTTTCCCATTCTTTAAAAAAAGCGCTTTTAAATTACTTCTGTAAATGACTGTACTTTGACAAACCTCCAATGGCAATGCCATTATGCTAATTGTATAAACCAGTGGTGCTCAATTTATGGCCTGTAGGCTGCATTTGGCTTGTGGAGCTGTATAATCTGGCCCATGGGACTCCCCCTAAGTCTGGAAATCTGGTGGTGGGAAAGTGGTGGCAGCATTAATGGTTCCCAGAGCTGTCATAGTTGTAGCAGAGTAACTCTGTGCCTGGGACATATCTGGGGAGTCCTGTGGGCCAGATGACATGCTCCTGTGCAATCAGCGCAAAACAGTTGAAAAAATTCGTCTTAGCAAGCTTGTGGGCACAAACACCCTTTGTCAAGCTGAGGAAGCATCTGCAGATGGTCTTCTTCCTCAGACTGACAAAGGATGTTTGTGCCCAAAAGCTTGATAAGAAGAATTTTCCCAACTATTTGAGTTGGTCTAATAAAAGATATCGGATTTATCCAAAGAACCTTGTCCGTCTATATCCGTAGACCAACACGGCTACAACATAAACCCCAGATCAAGCTGGCATTTGGGCTTGATCTATGGTGGACAGGGTCGGTCTGTGGCCTGATTCAGCCTACCAGATCAGGCCGTGGATCAACCACACATGCTGGCCTGATCTGGCCTGTGGACTAACCCCATGCCACTCATCCAGCCTGTGATGCCAGATGGGTTGAGCACTACTGGTATAAACCATAAGCATTTTGGTAGGCAACCATGAATTTTGGTAGACAACACCTACCTTGTCAGATGCTATAAGTGGACGGCAGAAAGGAAGTGTTTTATACCAAAAGGAAAGGGATGGGGAAAGAGCAACTGCTGAGGCAAGGGAAAAAGAGTAGACTAGATCAATGTGGATAAACAGGGCATTTCACACACTGGAGGAAATCTAGTCTCTGGCTTAGGTATGTGAAAGGTTAAATGATTAATTTAACCGATAAGTATAGTGATAACTGGTTAGCTTCCCTACTCTGGATAATTTCTTGTTTCACAATTTCCTACTCAAACTGGTTTTTAAAGTTTTGTTGTTTAAAGATAGCTACTTAGACTGGTTTGTGTTAAACATGGCTGCAGCAAAGATGATAGATTCGTATCCTATTACCTGGACTAGCTGTTAACTCCAATGTGCCTCAAGGTGTTAACTGCCTAGTTTATCCTAATTGATCTAACCTACCCATATTTTGAGTTATTGAGAATGTTTTTGCTTTTTAAATAAAGCAATGTGGAAAAAGAATAAGTAGCATCTGCATTTTAATGTCCAAGAACCTGTTGGTGGATCATTAGACATGCTGCCAGAAATATCAGAAATCCAAAAGAAAACAAACTAGCTTCCATCTCAAGGATTCTAGGGATGAGGTTAATTTATTGATATATTTTATGTTTTAAGTATAAATTTAGCTTTTCTTCTAAAAGTTAAGATCCTCAGCTCAATACTCTCTCTCATCATGTGCAGGCAAGGACTGTTTTTAGAGTAGGTAGCATAGCATATTAAGGTATCAGAAATTCTTGAAGATTTAAAACGTAATCTTGAAAAACCCACCTATGTTAGTGTAAACAAACAAATATTCTCTCTCATCATCTGCAGTCAAGCATTTTTTTTGGTTAGATAGGGCAGGATAATGACCTAGACTTTGAAATATCTGTCCCAGTCCTAAGCATCATTCAAAAATCAACCTGTCAAAATAAGGTAAATAAAGTGAAATTTTGTTTAAATATTAGATGAAGCAAGTGGAGTACTATTCTCCTGCTTTATTTT